TCAAATCCGCTTTGTTTTAGAGAGCATGTAAAGAGGATATGCCATTGCATTAGCAGATCAAAACCAACTGTGGCTCATGCTCTGCTTTTGTGCAAAATGGAAGGCAGATCTGGAACTTAAAAAATCTGAAACACCACTCTGACCAGACAAAGGCCAAAGAAACGTTTTTTCAGTCTAGGGTTCTAGTTCTGTCTTGTCCACAAATCTGCCTCTGGCAAGGCTCCTACACACTAATTGTAAGAAACACATAGTAAGCAATGTGCTAGACCTGTAAGGGATAAGAAACCAACACTATGGAGTATTTCTTTTTATTTCTGTTACTTAAAAATTAGCAGATGCTCAAAAGGTTGAGCTCTAAAATGCCCTTCAAGTTTGTTGTGTGGTTGGGTTTTGTTTTGGGTTTTTTTTTTTTTATGGAAATAATAAATACATGTTTCAGTGAAATCTACAGTTGCATTTTACTTCAGTATTTCTGAACAAGCCCTTTTTATTGTTTCAAAGATATAAGGTTCTTAAATTACACAAAAAGAAAGCAGAAAATCCTGATATGCATTCTGTATACTCCTAGTGTTATCACTGATTTCATTCCTTTTCCTACTTGCGTAGTTCAAGCAGCTACTGCACACAGAGCCCCTATGGCACTTCCCAAAATGATACAACACGCTGTCTTGCCTTGTCTTCCCCCTCATCCAAAATTCATACAGCACTGCAAAAAACATTAACAAAATCTCTAAGCGGGAGTGATAAAAATAAAGTCGTGGCAATTATTTCAATCTGAGGTCACATCTTTTGCTTCATACCCCGTACGGCAGCTCCAATATTTGAAAGAACAGAGGGAAAAAGACTGGGCGTGTGTAACACGGGTATGATCACTACTAACAAACCTATAAAACAACTGAAACAGTATCTTGCTTTACTCCCGATTCCTGCAGGCAGACTTGTCTGACTACTCTAATGGAATACCACTGTTTAAACACAAGACTTACATTAACCCAACAGAGACGCAGAAATCAACTGCCAGTTTCCACTATTTTCCCACTTCAAGTTCACTGTCCTGTCTGCTAATTTATCAAATTAAGGATCCTCAAAACGCAAATTATTTCAAGTTGCATTTCAAAAACTAGTCCTATCATCTGCAAACTTAAAGAACAGTTAAAATCCCTTTAATGGTATTTGATACAAAAGCCAATTCTTAGAAACTTGTAGCAATAAAGTTGAACAATTCCAAACTTCAACTGGTTCTAGGAAATTTAATTTATAGTAAAAGCAGATGTTCTTCTACTCCACCAACTCCAGCTACGCAGAATGCATAGCTGACCTGTTTCCGACCCAGACGTCTTTTGACTATCAAGAAAACATATTAACTTATCTGGAAGGCTTAAGAAAAACAGTAGGATATGTGAAGAATGACCAATGGACAACAGCAGAAGCTAGTAAAAGATAGAACAGTCCAAAACACAAGCTCAATCTGACAGTCCATTTAACTTAGAGAAACAACCTTCCAAAAAAAAAGTAATTTGAAGCCCCTTACTACGAGGCCTGCAAAGGCACTGAGAAGGTAGGACAGCATGTTTGTACCAGATGCTCCACTAGACAAGAATCCTGCTGACACAGGCCTAAGGCCCCCCGATCCCATCCCCATTCCTTTGATCCCATGTCATCTTTTATGATTGCCTGTGCCTGGCATGAGAAGACCCTCCTTTCATACTTTTTTCCCCCTAGATTTTAAAGTTTGTGAATTCTCCTAACACAAAACTGTTCTGAAGTCAAATACGTAGATTTGAAGGATCAACATCTGAGCCACAACAAGACTTCACTGCCGTTTAAGTGGTATAGCTTAAGACCTCAAGACCACTTCAAAGACGTTAGATCTGAGTCTTAGAACAAAGTTTTTATCTTCAACTTGGAGCACTTATGTTTTAGACCCAGCCTACTCCACAGCCAGGTATTCTGATAGGGACATTTCTCCGATGCATTAGTCTTAAAAGCCTGCTCCAAGAAAGAATCCATATTAACTGCACCCTTTTATTTTCTGTTTAAAAGAATGAATGCAATACCCAAATTCCCCTTACCCAGTAAGTCAGCAGGTGTGTCCACCTAAAACAATTTTTCAAACTGATTCTCCTTCCCCTCTCTTTTCTAGCCACATTAATGCAAAATTCCCAGCACTACTTAATTAAAAAAAAAATGTATATGCACACCTACTAGAGAAAATAAAGATGAACGCAAAGCTTCCATCTGATGACAAACATACAGAGACATAAAGGCTGTCTCCCTGGAAGTTAGGAATCCAGAGGCAGTAAGTGCAAAGACTCTTCAAACCTTCTGTTTCTGAATACTGGAACAGAAGAGTATGTTTGCACATACCATTCAATAGCTTTATTGTTTTCAATGGTTCTTCAGATCGGTGAAAGTGGCAGTATCAAGGAAGAAATGAATTTCTCCGGCATTTTTAATCAAGGTTAGTATCACTGTAATAATCAAAAGCTTCAACACAAAGATTAATTCACCTAGGATTGCTTCTGAAAGTGTTAGTAGTCAGAAAATACTGAAAACCAAGCCCTTATATTAAAACACAGTGATAGAAAAGAGTACGGTGATCCTCAGAGCGAAAAAAACCAACAGGATTTTCAACCTATATTAAGCACAGAAAGGTAAACTTCTGAGTCATTCACATGCTACTTAGGGTCACAGCACGTATTTGTTGAGGGTCTCCACAGGATAAATAAATGCAAGGCTCAGTAAGTTAGCTCTGTCACAGAGATTTTTTTCTTCTTTATTGGAGTGACTTAAGGAGGTCACAAGTGAAAAAAGCAACAGGAATAAGATTTTGTATTTTCTTGGCTCAAATGATAAAAACATAAACCACAATACAATGCGTACAACTTAAGTTTTCAAGGAAAACTCCTTCAAGCTCAACAGCAGCTAGCAGCTTGTCTCTATTTGCCGTCACTCTAGATCAGAAGAGCCCACATGCTTTTTTTTCTTTCCTGCCCCTTTCAGTTACACTTGAGCTCTTTGACTGAAAAGGTCTGGAACAGATTAAAAGTCCGACCACAAAATAAAGAGCCTTGGCATGTACTCAAGCCTGTCTGGGATACACATACGCAGTGGGCCCAAAAAGGGAAGTTATGCAGCAAGAAACCCTTATGCAGTCTTTTCAACATTTCTAACTTCTTTCAGTTTAACTGCAGAGCCTTAACGTTTGATGGGAGTTTCAGTATGCACAAGACAAGTAGCTTTTGCCCTTACACTTGGACCATACTATTCACAGGAGAACAAAATAGTTCTGAGAAACAAGATTCATCTCACTCAGAACCTCTGTCAATTAAAGCCTTTTCCACAGTCCTTTTTAATTCCAGCTCATCATTGGAAACCATAAAGTAATACAAAGAAAAGAAAAATACATAGCCTGCAAGATTACTTAAGTAAATATAATTGACCTGCCTCTCTTAAATGCAAAAGGAAACACTGATTTTCAAAATGACTGCTTCCTTTTCAGCCTTATTCACACACTAAGTAATTGTGAAGTTGCAAATTACCCAACACACTCCTCTTGCAACGCACGAACAGGTCTGCAACTCTTGGCTGGTGTTAAAGCCAGCATGGACGTTTGCCAAAGCTGGCAACCTTCAATATAAGCCCCACCTTTGGGCTCAAGTTGCACAGTGGTTCAACCTGTCTACAAACTGGTGAGCAGTTTATAAACAAAGTGTGACAATCCGGTGTTCTCCTAAGAGCAAACGGAAGTTTAAAGTAAGTACTTAAGCCTACAAAACAAAAATACTGAAAGTTCTAACAGCCGTTTCAGAAAAACAAAACAGAACAGCGACTGTTAAGTTTTGCAGCTCTGTTTATATGGCATTCACGGAGTTAATGCCTCTCCCAAAAGGGGCCCACAGTTGTTGTTAGGTCAACCCCTGTAAAGCTTCAAAGGCTTTGTATCCCCTCAGCCTGACCTACTCAGTGATCTGCACACTGTTTTCATTTAGTTGCACCGAGTCCAAAACTAAAGCCTGAAAACCACAATGATCTCTTCTTTTTTTTACCCCTACTGTTTTTTCCACAGCTCTGGAAAAATAACTAAAATCCAAAGGAGTCGAAAATAGTAAGTTATTGGGAAAACAAATCAAGGGCAAATGGATATGGCTAATAAAGCTTGCACACACAGGTTGTGGCTTTATACAAAAACTAAATTTGTGATACCACCTAAAATACATCAGAACAATTACTTGGACAATCTAAGAAACTAGTTTAGAGTCTCTAAATATTGTAAGCTATTGCTATTCACAGTCATCAGTGTCAATATTTTACTGAAATGTTTGCAACTCTGCTCTTCATATAAATCAAAACATTACAGAAAATGAGGTATCAGTTCTGTTTCGTTGAATTTTTACATCTAGACCTTGTGATCCCCAATTTAAGTTACAATTTCTATTTCCAATATTACATCGTCTTTACCCCACAAAAAGATTACCGAAGTAGAAACAACAAAGCTAATAATTTCTCTCCATATTGTTTAAAACAGAAAGTTTTGTCATGATCATCACTGTGACAAGCTGGAATTATAAGCTGGTATATGTTTCAAGTGTATTTAAACAACATAAATTATAATTTGACAATGCCTTCTTTAAGATAGCGCAAAGGAAAGTAAATATTTGTTTGGGAATTAGAAGATTTCAATTTTAAAGGGAAGAGTAAGCTTGGCTGATACTGTCTTTCAGTTAGTAATTTCTGAATGCCACCAACTTTGGGAACTGTATGGATCATATGGCAAAATACCAACCCCTAGCATTAGAAACTTTGGTGACATACACTCCTAAAGGACATATGCTACTAGGTTTTCTCTTTTTTTAAAATAATTATTTAAATAAGGTCTCTATAATTCAAATTAAAATAGATTTTATTTGTACTATTAAAAGTTTTCAAAATATGCCTGCAAAATTAAAGCTGAGTGAACTGAACTGAATCAAAAATTCTGAAGTGAGATGAACTTTTACCAAAGCGTGGGTCAAGCCTTGGGTCTAGCCAAGATGTGGTCTTGTTCTTATGGTTTATGTAGTAAATTTCTCCATCCTGGGTCATAGCTTGTTCCCATCCATCGGGGAGTGGGCCTGCAATATAGAAGGAAGGAGTTGATGGCGGGCTCTTGTTTGCTCCAGCTGAAATCGATCTAAAAAAAATTCCAACATTTTACATATATAACAGTACATGAAACAGAAGAGTTTCAAGATCTTGTCTAACATTTCTGGGATAAGGGCAAAGAAGTGGCGGGTGGAAAATCAAAGAACAGAAAACACTTCTATGATTTTGATTTAGGATTTGGAGTTTAATTTTATAACTTGTTTGCATCATTTCATATGCTTTTGACACTGCCTTTTCCTGTAGCATTATAGTACAAAACCAGCAATAAGTCAAGCCTGCCAGAATGAAACCAGCATGAGCACCAGGAAGAAGAAGCAGCACAGAGATATTCCACCTCTCATCTAGTCACTAAGGCCCAGCAGCCGCAGCAACAAGGTAACGCTGATGCAATATTCCTCTATCTTTCTCAAACAATTTTAAAAAGTGGCAAAACTCATTTTCCCTTTATCTCACACTGTAACTTCCTGTGAAAGCATTAAAGGCTTAAGCAAGCAAAAACACAAACCTGAAGAACAGGAGGCAAATAAGAAATGAAAAAGCGAAAGTAAGAAAACACCGGGAGCAGACATAGAGACACAGTGCTACGAACAGCAGTGCTACGCCTCTACGAGCAGGAAGGCACAGGCAGGGAAACCTGCGTTTAGGAAATGGTAAAAAGGAGACAAGTGACAGTGTTCTGGAGCCCACAGCTAATGTCTGAACACGGAGTCTTGACATGTGTTTCCCTTACAGGGGACATCCTCCTAGAAGCTATGTTAAGACACATTGAAGACAGGGAGGTGATTCGAGACAGCCAGCATGGCTTCACCAAGGGCCAAGTCCTGCCTGACCAACCTAGTGGCCTTCTAGGATGGAGTGACCACACCAGTGGACAAGTGAAGAGCTACAGATATCATCTATCTGGACTTCCGTAAGGCCTTTGACACGGTCCCGCAAAACATGCTTCTCTCTAAATTGGAGAGATAGGGTGGATGAGGAACTGGTTTGATGGTGGCAACCAGAGCGTAGTGGTCAATGGCTCAATGTCCAGATGGAGATGGGTAATGAGTGGTGTCCCTCAGGGGACCACACTGGGACCAGTACTCTTTAATATCTTCATCAGTGACATAGTGGGATCGAGTGCACGCTCAAGCAAGTTTGCAGACGACACCAAGCTGAGTTGTGCGGTTGACAGGCCTGGGGGGACAGGATGCCATCCAGTGGTACCTGGACAAGCTCAAGGAATGGGCCCATGTGAACCTCATGAGGTTCAACAAGGCCAAGTGCAGCATCTTGCACCTGGGTCAGGGCAACCCCCAGTATCAGTACAGGCTGAGGGATGAAGGGATCGAGAGCAGCCCTGCTGAGGAGGACTTGGGGGTACTGATGGATGGAAAGCTGGACATGAGCCGGCAATGTGCGCTCGCAGCCCAGAAGGCCAAGTGTAACCTGGGCTGCGTCCAAAGAAGCGTGGCCAGCAGGTGGAGGGAGGTGATTCTGCCACTCTACCCTGCTTCTGGTGAGACTCCACCTGGAGTCCTGCATCCAACTCTGGAGCCCTCAGCACAGGAAAGACACGGACCTGTTTGAGACAGTCCAGAAGATGGCCACAAAAATGATCAGCGGGATGGAACACCTCTCCTATGAAGACAGGCTGAGAGAGTTGGAGTTGTTGAGCCTGGAGAAGAGAAGGCTCTGGGGAGACCTTCTTGCAGCCTTCCAGTACTTAGAGGGGGCTTCTAACAAAGATGGGGACAGACTTTTTAGTAGGGCCTGCTGCAATAGGACAAGGGGTAATGGCTTTAAAGTAAAAGAGGGTAGATTTAGACTAGATCTAAGGAAGAAATTTTTTACGATAAGGGTGGTGAAACACTGGCACAGGTTGCCAAGAAAGGTGGTAGATGCCCCATCCCTGGAAACATTCCAGGTCAGGTTGGACGGGGCTGTGAGCAACCTGCTCTAGTTGAACATGTCCCTGCTCATTGCAGGAGGGTTGGACTACATGACCTTTAAAGGTCCCTTCCATCCCAAACTATTCTATGATTATGTTCCAAAGAGCAGCTTTTGAGAAAACCACCTTTCATCACTATACAGTTCATAAACCACTCATTCCCATCCCTATATAATCATGTACATTCACCTGTATTTTACTTAGACTGAAAACTATTCTTCAAGTTACATTAATCTTATCTGGCAGATGCTTTACAAATGCATTTTTTTTTAATTCTTATACTTACATAGATATGAACTTTTAAAAACATCTAAAGTAGATACTGGAAGATCTTGCCTGTATTTCTTTAGATTTAAGTACAGTCCTAAAATGGTATAGCAAAGATCCACTACAAATGTTACGAATGTAAAAGAAATTAGAACAAGACCTGCACCAGGAAGCCGTCACATTTTAACCTTAACTCCTACTGTTCGTCAGTGCAATGTAGTCATATCTGGCTGTTAGATATGGACTAACAGTCTTATGAGGAGAAGCTGAGGGAACTGGGGTTGTTTAGCCTGGGCAAAAGACAGGTCAGGAGAGACTTTATCACTCTTTACAACTACCTGAAAGGAGGCAGTAGTGAGGTGGGTGTTGTTCTCTTCTCCCAAGTAACTAGCGTTAGAAGGAGAGGAAACGGCCTCAAGTTGCACCAGGGGAGGTTTAGATTGGGTACTATGAAAAATTTATTCACCAGAAGTGTTGTCAAGCATTGGATCAGGCTGCTCAGGGAAGTGGTGGAGTCACCATGTCTGGAGGTACTTCAAAGATGTGTAGATGTGCCACTTAGGGACATGATTTAGTGAGGAACTTGGCAGTGTTACGTTTATGGTTGGGCTGAATGATCTTAAAGGTCTTTTCCAACCTAAACGATTCTATGAACAGACCATTCTCTATAAACTAAGATACACTAAGTAACATCATAATTTCACACATGAGATTCAGATATATACACAAAATTATATGTGCATAAGTACCTACTATATCCATGTTCAAACTACATTAGATCTTTGCCTGTCATTTTGTCCTAAAGTCAGGCTCCTGTTGAAGAATTCATTGTCTAACGCTGGGGGGTAGGGGCCAGGACAGGGGATGGGTAGATTTGTTTTCTTAATCTCAAAAGATGTTCTTGGAGAAATGTCAAGAAGAGTAAAATAATCATTCGATTGCATTCCAGTAATATCCCAAGGCATAACCAGGACAAGAATTTCTTACTGTCATCTTTGAAGATCCTCTGGAAACTACATTTCTAATTTAAACTCTCTCATTTTGGCTCAGAAAACTATGCCTTTCTTTAGCAACCACACTGTTCCACCATTAGAGCTACAGGTTTTTGAGCGAGGATAAGCAGTGATCTAAACATCGGACATTTCATTCCCATCCTTAATGCTCACAAGCTGTAAATGCTCCATTACACATAACAAGAGAACCTCAGCTTTTATCAGAGGCTAGCGAGCATAACAGGCCAGAGTGACAACACCAAAAACATTCATAAATCCTAACATATTCACAATATAACAGGACTTTGATGCAGAGCTGAAAGCTCAAGTACAGAGAATCCTGTACTTTGTTACCATACCCATTACCTACCCAAAGACCAGCCAGCTAATCAGCGAGATGTTATTTTATAAAACTGGGGCACGGGAGCACAGCGACATGCCCCACATCATCCAAGTGCAGAAGCCAATGAAGAACCAAAAATGTTCCTTAACTGCTAAGCCAACACACTAGCCATGTAGGCAGACCTTCTCACTACCATTCTCCTCAGAGTCCTTTCAAGCCACACATCCCTTGGAGATGAAACTCAGCAAGAAATTCTCTTTTGAACTGCAAAGCCAAAAAACCATCTGGCTCCAGGAAAAACAAAACTAGCCTTGAGGTGTCAGTCCTGCTGAGCATTGAGGAAAGTGTATACTGGTCCAGCATGTTCCTTTGTAGTAAATAAGAACAAAATGCCTTTGAAGCAGGATGCCAGGAGCTGATCAGTCCACCCACCTGGTGGAAGAACATTGCTTATGCAATTCAGTGATCTGATGAGTACTAGCTTACTGGAGACAAACCTGGACAAGGTTCTCTTTCTAAATAAAATCCATAGCTGTGGACAGGACAGGAAAGGTCTGTCTGCTCACCTGGCTGTCACAGTAGCAAGTCTTTCTTGCTAAGTGCCATCAATGGCTGCAGGAACAGAACTTTTCCTCTAGAAACTTTTGGCATTAACCATGACGTTGCTTTCTTCCTTGGCCGGTAAACTGCTCTTGTGTTTCTGCTGTCATCCCTACATGTTGAAATAGTAGTTCAAAAGTTGATTAGTACTGCTTTCTGTAATTCCTATTTGGTTTTGTGAGCAGCTGTGAAACCAGAAGACTGTCAAGTCTGATTTTGTAACTCGCTGTCTGACAAACTCTGTACTAGAGGCAAGTAATGGAGGGAAAATGGAAAACCATGGTGAAGAACAGCAGACACATTCACTCAGAGCATCTAGGAAAATTCCTGTGCAATTACATGTCTCTCTTCTCCCCAAAGGCTCAGTAGGAACAGAATTCCCAGCACTAGCTTATGTTTTTAAGTGACGTAAGTTATATAAGCTCTTTACTGCTGTTCTTCTGACCTTCTCACTAAAATTTCCATAGTTGTTGTAGCCCATGTTGTACAGAAACATCCATGCTGGGTCTAACCAGAAGTCCATTTAGCCCAGGCACCTAAACTGGGAAGATGGACAGATATTGTTGCTGAAAGCAGCCCACTTAGTGACTGTCACACTCTATAAACTTTTAAATAAAGCACTGAATACACATATAGACCAAAAAGTATAGTGGCTATGACTAGTCACTTGGCTTCCAAGTACCTCTGGTGATTTCTTGAGCCAGATTCTGCCTCCTTACTAGGTGCCAAAGGATGTCTCTTTAAAGTACTTTTCCAGTCTCCCCTTAAACCTTTGTAAACATTTAGCATCAACAATATGCCTGTGGCATGGTCTTCTACTAGTTCTGTTTGATGCCTCCTAGGTCAATGCAACACAATCACAACCATAAGCTTACAATTTTATGAAATTATTTGCACAGGGAGAGACAACCCTTCTACGGAACTCACCATTTACTGTGGTACTTTTGAAGACAAGGTTAATCCAAAAATTTTGTCCAATTTCCAAATGTAAGCCATCGTTACAGAAATACTGATAAGACATACCTCTGTAACTAAATATTTACATAATGGTGTAACTTAACATAAATACATGTAATTTTAAAAATCTGTGTGCATGTCTCTGTTTGGTGCATGTCTCCATTTTTTTGAGTTCTTACTTTCTCAATATACCATTTTTGCCATGAAATGCAGAGTCTTGAATGAAAGCAGAGCTCGCTGCTGGCAGACAGAAAGCAACAGGACGAGTAACAAAAGCAAAAATGTAATAGAGATTCAAGCTATGCTGGGATACAAAGTAAGTCTGGCAAGTCCCTACAGCTTCTGATATTTAATTGTAAAATAAATGAAAATAAAGCTGTATTTTATCAAAAGGTTAATGCATATTAAAGAGCATCTGTATCTAGATATTAGAAGAATATGCACAGACAACCTAGGAACTGGAACACCTACGTTCAACAGTAGGAATCACCTTCACCTAATACAAACACCTATCTCCAAGAACCTTCCCAATCTTTCTCTGTGAAAGCTGAAATCTTCCCCTTCAATCACTGTCACTGTGATTCCAAAACTTTTAACAATTATATCAAAGCCTACAAAATTTACCTGAAGTCCACCTTCATTCTGTCAAATCAGTAAAACTTACCACGAGACACTATTGAAAAAGAGGCATTTTTTGCAGATGAAGAAAGAAATGAACATTGCTGTCATGCAGACACTTAGAAACTCGAACTTCACAACAGCTCTGTACACAAAGCAGAATTTGTAGTATGTTTACACAGAAGAGAACTTTGCAACTGAAGTGAACAAGAATTTAAGAGAACAGCTAGAACTTGTTTAGTTATTGGCATATTCCTCCCTACCCTCTTGCCCCCGAAGGCAGGGAAAAAACCTCAAGAGTTATGAATTCGAGCGTCCATTTTCCTACCAACCTTTAGCATGCCACTACAGCCTTACCCTAAGAGGCAATGGAATTACACTAGGTCTACAAACTTTCACCAGGAAGCCCAATTCAAAACTGCAATGTAAGAGGGAAGACATAAGAGGACAAGGACAAGGTAATCTACTCCAAAGCTAATTATCTAATGTCTAAGCGCAAGCAGAAGAGGCTAAAGTAAGCAGCGCTGTCAAGCATGATTCAGGAAGTAAAAGTATCTGAAGGATGGAGGTATATAAATACAATTACTATCCCATCTCTGTTATATCAACTGTAATTGTACGAGAAACAGGTATTGTTTACTTTCAGATTTATAACTTTACCTCAGCAAGAAATGTATAGGAGAGAGTCCTCAGAAGAACAATGCACCGTTATTACTACTTTTTTATTTATTTATTTTTTAATCACGTCAGAAGAACATAATTTCTCCTGTAATACCTTTAGGGAAAAAATGGTTAGAAACACACACACAAAAAATAAGAACAGTCAAGATTCATTTTTTTATACACATGTTGCATATTTAGAAGTAACAGGCTTGTTTTCTTTCCATTATTGATGTGAAGATGCAATCCTATTTTACAGAAGATTAAACAACAAATGCCATCTAAATGAGCACTGTGTTTCTCTGCATACATATGGCCCAAACCATTTTAGTTATTACATGTAGCAAGCGAAGTTCAGCAATACCAAGACAAAAAAAAACAAAAAAACCCCCCCCAAAAAATCAAAACAAACAGAAAAAAAAAAAACCCTCACTTTTCACATACTGATGCCCTTCTGCAAAGGATGTATACTAACTATCAAAAAATAGTTAATTCACAAAATCATGCCAGGAACAGATGAAGCTGGCTCAAATGCTTATTAATTTCCTTAAAGAAACATAACTTGCAGCAAGATACCTGGATTCTCATTCAGTCTTAGCTGCCTCAAGAGGTGGGATTTCTTCAGAAAAACAACCTAAAAATCTCAACCTCATGCTGAGCTACATCTTCTCTGTTTTTATTTTAAACACTCTTTTGACTTGCCTTCACCCTTACCACACCTTCTAGTTTTGCTTGCTTCACATTTTCCCTGAGCTTCACTTATCCTATTTATGCAGAAAAGACAACAGGTTTATCAGCAGCTTTCTGAGTACTGTTCTCTCTCTCTCTCTTTTCAGTTTGTTTTCCTGTTCTTAATTCTAGTGAATGGCTAGAATTCTAACTCTAGCTAAATGGCTAAAGCTTCTAATGGCTTTCAAGACAGCTCCTAAAAAACTCCTCTTTTATTTTTTACCACAGCAACTTTACTCACAAGCTCCTATGGCAATCTGTAATTAAATATACTAAAACTTGGACAGTAACTTCTAAGTAAGGACTACAATTAATGAACAATATACAAAGATGAACCATGCAGAAAGAAAATGTTCTCCCTTGTGGCATTTTGGACTTTTTTTGCAAGCCAGAGACCTCCAGCTGTCACAATACTTACACTTGATTTTTCCCACTATCTTTCATGAAAGGCTCTCAAAGCACTAGGGCACGTTTCATTGCCAGCAATATTTCATAACAGGAAACTTCTGTCTTAAAGGCCTCAACTTCATTTTCCAGTTCTTGAGGACGAATATCCAAATGAGAATATTAAGTAGTCTTCTATTTATGATATTAGCACTCAGATTTAAGTTCCACTGTGCTGAAGTGGTACACAGTTACTTGATTTTTCTGTTTCTCTCAAAGATTCTTTACGAGGCCACCAAAGAAGGGTAAGTTACCATGAACTCAGTAGTAAAAAGTAACACAAACAGATATAAGAGACTTTAGTGAAAACATATATACAGTCATAATTTAAAGTTAGTACACAAAGATTTGCCAAATCTGGTATCAGAAACAGAATCCTATCCAATAAATGCAGGTTCAGTATTATTTAATTCAGAACAGACTTTTGTTAAATGCAAGTAAGTTAAGGGTAAGCAGGTGCAACCAAAGAGCCAGTTCCAAGTCATACTACCTCAACTGATGTAAGCTTAAAAAAAGCAATGCCATGTAAACACATAACTCAATATACACAGAAGTTCTGCTTTCTTCATGCACTTTGTCAAATTCAGAGCACTGGAGGAAAAAAACTTTACAAGATTCATATACAATACAATATCATCTGTGAAATTAAATGTTTAATGAACTTGCATTCAAATAAGTGCTTTCTCAAGTCAGAAGACAACCCGCTTAAACATCTCAACTCTTCCTTATTGCATGAGCAACAACATCTATGCAGGATCACTTGCTCACACACTCACATCATTCAATTACATGTAAATTCTCGATTTTCTTTTAAAAATAATCCTCATCTACCGATTGCTAGATTAGGTTTTAGATTTTTACCCCTTACAACTAACCAGTTTATTGGTTTTAAGGACCCTTCCTTTTTTTGAAAGACCCTTCATTTCTTTCTAGGTACATAAAGTGAATCCTACTTCACTATCAATATTTTTTCCTGTTAATTCTTGGTACAGTGAAAGGTTTGAGGAGTTATCTTAAAACACACAATTTATGTCAATATTCAAACAGCAAGCATCTAGTTTTAGCACAAGTAACATAAGCCAAAAGGCAAGGTAGAGCAAGGGAACTGTTTCCTTGCTCCTATCCTCTGTTCTTCAGAATTGCCCCTGCAAAAACATGTCACCTCTATTGCTGCAGGCTTCCTGTGATATATTTATAGAAAAAATAATCACAGGTATTATATTTTCACATCAGAGCCTGAGACCCTAATTGCTCCGAATCACGACTTCCTGAACTTGAACAGGACTCTCATTTGTTTCAGGATAATCCAACCTCCTGGCCTAGCCAGCAAAAAGTTTGATTCTTCCCCTCTAATACTCAGCCATGAACAGCACAGTTTGGTCACGCCTGTTAATCTTTGGTATTGTCTGCAGCATATGAAATGCAGCATGAAACAAAGCTGTCTAAACGGACAACAAAAAGCAGCACCAGAGAATAACCTTTGTGAAATACAGGAACAGCAGACATACACAAAATACAATCAGACTGTGAGAAAATAAATAAAATACGAGCCTCAGCGACAAGACAGAAGGTGACAAAGCATAGGGAAGAGCGCAGCAGACAAATTAGCATGGCACCAAATTTATCTGCTTGCTCCCTGCATCATCAGGACAAGAGAGGTCTGAAAACATAAAGCAGATTCTATAGCAAGAACAAGCACAGTTTACGGCTGTCTAGTGACGGCCCCCCCAGACTAGCTGAAAAATAATTCTATATTCCAGGAAAAAGATATCAAACTTCCTCAGCTAAAGGAATAATCATCACAATACAGGATTTTGGAATTGACAGGAAAATAAGAGGAAAACCAAAACATCTCTGCCTCTAAACAAGGTTTTCCAGGTATTTGCTTTATTCATTTAGGGAAGACAGGAAAAAATGACATGTTCATAACAAATGTAGGAAATGTAAATGAATGGGAGTATACCAAATCTCATAAGTGAGCAAGGGGAGGCAGAAGAACACTGCAGAAGCACAACAGCTTTAACATAAATTGGCACTAATTTAATGGAAATTATAGTCTTCATCAGTTTAACAGCATTTTCAGTCAGAAGAAATTAGAAAAAAATTCTGCTGCTTCAAATGTTTCAACCATCCACTCAAAAAAATAAAAACACAAACCAAAGAACTACAGGATACTTTCTGTTGACATCATAAATATTATACAAATTCTCTTACCTCAAGTATCAGCCTCTTGCTTGATGAATCAGGCACCAAAAAATTTAAAGTTTAAAACCAGGATAACTAGAAGGACAATTTGGACTCCCTCCCCGCCCAGTAAAATCGCTAATAGTATCTTCATTTGTATGGTATTTTTCATAAATACAGATTTTGCTTACCTGATGCTGAGTTCATGATGTTCTGCTGCACAGAAGGACTGGTAGGAGCTGTAACATTCATCTGGGAAAGCATGGCCTTCCTAGGATCTTGCCATGTTGTTGTTTGATCAATGTGACTAAGACAAAACAAAGCGAGAGTTAGGACAGTCATGCATTCACAACAATGACCTGCTAGCACAGAAAGTTTAACAACAGAAGGTTAAGCCTGCCAACAACAGCCACATTCAAAACCAAGCAGGAACTGTTTGGATTCTTTCCAAGCATCACAGCATGTCAGATTCTTAAACCCTTACTCTGGCCACCACCACTTTCACAACAAACAGCTGTAGCGATCAGAGGTAGAGCAATGGTGAGATAAGGCTCAACATGAATATCGTAATCTAGACTGTTGTACCTTAACTAGATGTTGTACCCTTGAACTAAACATTCTCTTCCTTTTCTCGTTGATGAGTTTTCAGAGTCTTTCGAACCAAGCAAGTTATTGTCTGGAATCTCAAGCACAGTCCAGTAACTTGGCATTAGTAGTTCATATTCAGTGCCTAGGGAGCTGTAATGAACTGGCTGGTGAGTCTTCCCAAACTTTCTGTGCATAGACCACATCCTCAGATTATCTGATGAACTACCCCCCTCACCACTGACAACGGAACAATCTCTCCATAGTAATTAAGCAACCAGTCACACTAGAGCAGTAATATGAAAGTGATGTGTGGCTGCCTTTCCACTTCATGTGAAAAGATAAGGACAGCTGGACTGTGTCAAGTAACCCAACTAAGCCCTCTGCAGAACCTAATTACAAAACTTGGGGAGCTTAGATTTATCTGTTTTGAAAAAACTGGAAAGTACATTTGGCACTGTCATGCACGAAAGTATTCAATTCAATGAAAATACAGAAGTGTAATGAATGATTACATCACATTTTGAGTATGTGATTAGCATGTTTTGCTAATAACAAACGCAGGCTATTCAGAACAAGCATCAATGTTGTCTTGATGCCGTTAAGCAACATTGCCCCAAGAAGTACATGTGGACAAAAATAAAGCTACTAATACACACTGGCATTGACAAAGTTTGTGATCGATTCATTTAGAATGGTATCAATTAAAATTCATTCAAATAGTATTGTTATCAATTAGAATCTAACGCATCATTAACTTGGTACCATACTTTCTTTACATTAATAATCCTTAAAGTTACTTTTTTCTGGATTATATGGAAAGTCCATTTGCATTTACTTCAGCAAAACCACAACATTTAAATCTGCAACATTAATTCTGTTGGTGATCTGAGTTCAAAACTAGGTACTCCAACTCAGACCTCTGCTTTGTAGCCATGCCTTGCATTGTGTTTTGTATGTATCTTGGTGGATCAAGGTGTATCTGTACTGCACTATCAATTGGGCTGTAAATTTTCCATCTTTCTGTTGGGATTGGAGGAAGTAAGAACTGTGCAGCAACTGTTTGCAATTCAGTTTCCCTTATTTTAAAGCATATTCAAGTTTAGGAGCTGGTACTGTATTACATTAGACATTCTAAAGGGATAAATATTTCAGATTTGTCACCTCAACACTAGCACCTTTGGGGACACTGTCATCTGACCTTGTCACCATGCTCTCCGCTGATAAGAAAGGACCTACATAAGCACTGCCAGGATGTAATTCATTTGATCAATTTAAGGAAGGTACTGAAGGTGAATCAGGCCCATTTTTTCATTCAAGAAGGGAACCTCAATTAACTAGGTCAAATACAGTGACATTAGAAGAGATGAATCCCAAACTCTGTTTGTGTATTTGCATGACCACAACATCCAAGAGCTCTGGTCATAAGTGAAGACCTCATCATAGGTCAAACTGGGCAAACAAAACCGAGTATTATTTTCTCTAAGCAACTAATTACTATGCCTAGAAACTTACTAACAAAAACCTTAACCCCAATTCAACTGAATTATTATTAAATGTTTAATTTAATTAAGTATTTTTAACATGTTCTTTCATGTTCAAAAGTTGATCTTTTTCCCCAAAATACTAAATCTTGTAACTATTTCATTATTTCAAACAAATGGGAATGAATAGATACAAATTCAGAAGATGATAAAATGGGGTAGTAGTCACCAAAATAATTACTTATGTAGAATTATTTATCACATTCTAATCATTGAAGGGACTTTCTGTTAGAAGGTATCACAGAATGGCTTTTTAAAAAAAGTTTTCGTTTGAGATATGTATATTTTACCCTCTCTAAACATGCACACAAAGAATTCCAGGTCTAAGAGTTACAGACACACTGTAGCAGGGTCACAAAATAGGCAGGAATATTACTTGTACAAAAATGTAATAGTAAACAAAGGTCTACTTTGTCTGCATGTGGCAACCACTGCCAGTTTTCCCTTGTGTACAGGAACCCCCACATTACTACAGCGTTAATTAAAATGGTGTCACTGCCACGTTTAGTTTCCGCAATACAGCTCATTTAATACAGGTACTCTTAAGCACACCGTGTCTTTGGTTGTGTATGTTTTCCAATATTCGGCTCCACTGAGACACATGCAGTAAGATTTCTTTATTTCCTTTTTAGCCTATTTATTTATAGAACAGAGCACAACATCGTGAGGACTGCCCTATGTATACTGGACTATACATAAACCTTCATACTGGAGAACATTTTTCCACTTTTCTCCTGGTCAGTTTTGCAAAGCAATGAAGGCAGGTAACGATAATACAGATGTAAAAACACTGCACAGTAATGCTTCACAGACCATGTGTTTAAATTACAGTACCAGCATGTGCTACTCCTCCCCTCTATTTCTGATTTGTTACATTTGCTCAGCTTAGTTCTGGCAACAGTGGAAACTGGGAAAACACTGCTGCACCCATGATTACACATTTGTTTATTTAACTCCTATAAAAATCCATGTAACACTAAGAATTTATAAAACGTCTACCTAAAGTACGTATTTTATAGCCTTTGTTTTTATACGCTATTTGAGTGTAAAGTAAGAAACAGAAGGCAAAAAATTGTCTCAATGCATTACAGAACCATTTTTGCTGTTAACCGTACACTTAAACAACATTCACCAGTTTTCCCAAACATATCAGAGTATGGGATAGATGAATGGACTATGGAAGAAGTAATTTTAAAAGTACCTCCAATGTTGCGCACAAGGACAGAATCATCGATTCCTCAAGACTACTTAAGCATCCACACAAAGTATCATTAATGTTCATACAGAGTTGTTAACATGGAGAGCTGTTTTAGGCAGCAAGCAGCTTCCAACTTTTCCCTAGCTGAGTATCCCTCGAGAAAAGCCAGCACGTTCCTTAGTTGACCAACTGAACTTCCAACCAGTAGCCTTCTTAGAGCAAAGAGCCACAAAGAAAAGTCTCCACATAAGCAAGCCCGTTACATTAAAATCATACTAATCATAAGGCTGGTTCAATAAGGCAAACTCTTTGTCTCCTCCCACTCAGCTCTGTGCTTCCTGACCTACACATCCACTTCTCCCACACCTCCTCCTCAACCCCCACCAAACCACAGTCCTTACGTGTATCTTACCCGCTCCACAGCCCAAGTTTTTGAATACTATATACTAAGAAACCACCCAAAACACATCACAACAGATCAGTTCTTTTCCACAACTTCCAAATCATGCTCATCAACTTATGGAATACAAAGCAAGCAAACCCCCACTTACATGGATGAAATGTTTAAATAAATCCTAGTACTACAGGAAGGAATACAGGTCTTAGTTTTGTTCAGTATCTGCAGCATGTGCACCAGGGTAACTTACTATAAACACTATGTGTTTCTCATTATCAAGTTAAGTACGGAAAGACGACATTCTCCACAGGTAAAGATCTTTCCCTCCATTTTGAATAGCAGTGCAGAAAAGGTCTAAATGGACATAACAAGAACTCTGACACCAACCCTACATTATCTTTCCCTGCACTAAACAGATTTCTTCCATAGTAGCTGCATTACATGACAACTCCTCCAATCCTTACATTCAATATCTTCTATTTTACATGACCTGAGCCACCTCTTGGTAAAGCACTACTGTCAACCTCAAAGTTTTAAAAAAATATTAGCAAATTGTGTCACATCTATGAAACCTATAAACCACCCATTGCATTTAGTACAGTACCATCAAATTAAAATTAAATTCTACCTACTCATGAACTAGAATCACAGCTTTGTGCTGTATGCACAGATGAAAACGAGTAAATATTTTGGAATTAAAATCAACATCTCTAGGACAATCAAGGAATGTAAGACATTTTACTTCATAGAATAAATTCTCCAATCCAACATCTAGCTACCTGACACTATCTATTATTGCTCATTTATGTCTAGGTGAAACAAATCCTTGTTAAATCCGACAAATGTTGTATAAACAAAGGAAATCAACTTAGACTGTACTGTAATAGTAACAGGCCTTAGGAAAAAAAAGCTAAAACACCCAGAACATGCTAAACACTTGTTAGCAAACTTACATCAATACTGGTACCAAGAAGAGTGACTGTTCCAAGCCACACCACCCCCCACCCTCCACCAAAAAGCACCTTCAAAGTGCTATGCATTATGAAGAGAACCAAGCTGCCTCTCTCCACCCATCTCCAAGTTTTACAGTCATATACAAATTACTTACATATTGACAAAAGCAACTTTTCTTTAAAGAAAACAAAAATGTTCTCATTTTATGCACACACAAGAGCATTTCTGCAGTTACTAAGAATCAGAATTTCTAACAAAGAAATCTTTCTTGGCATGAAACACTATCACATGCCTGAAGATTTGTCAGATTCAATTTCTAATCTAATTTTAAATAGTTCATGGTTCATTTGGGGTTTTTGGGTGGTGGGAGGGTGGGGGTTTTGGTTTGTTGGTTGGTTGGTTTTGGTTTTGTTTGGTGTTTTTTTTAAAGTACAGCAGAAAAGAAGCAGGAGATCCAGAGACCAAAAAATCCTATTTGTTACTTTTTATTGACAATAACCTTTAGATGCTAATAGATTAATAAAATAAAACCATTCCTAAAAACAGAGGACTGATCTGCCTTTGCACAAGGTGTGATACACCTTCATATTTGTAGTCCAGCGGATGCACTGAAAAGACATAAACTGCATTA